AGCATCATAGAATATATTTTCTTTGGTGGTTGATGAGATGACTCCTCACCAAGCACTACTCACACCACTCCCACTCCCCCACTTCACTTTTTCCCCGTCTCTCTTTTAAAAAAAAAAAAAACCCTTAACCATGGAAGCCCACCCTATCATAACCCTCCCATTTCCCATCCATGAATGGAATAATTGAGAGAGAGAGAGAGAGCGAGAGAGAGAGAGAGAGAGATTTTGATGGGATTGCACTAAAAATATGCTCCTTGACCATTCCTCCAGCTTTGACCACACAATTATAGGCCCAAGAATCGTTTAGATTTTATTTGCGGTCTTTGAAGCAATAAAGAATCATTAGTAAGTGGGAGCAATTTGAACCCTCTAAATTAGGTAACCCTTTTGGACATTGCCTTTGCAGCTCATGCAAACAGATATGAGATTTTCTTGCATACTTATCTAGTAAATGGTGTCGAGCTTAGGTAAATCAACATCGAATGTGAATATGTCTCAGCATGAGAGAGAGAGAGAGAGAGAGAGAGAGAGAGAGAGAGAGAGAGAGAGAGAGAGAGAGAGAGAGAGAAGTTCCAAATAGTTTGGCAAAGTTATGGAAATCTAGATAGCTATTCAAACACCCAATGGCCTTCTATAAGAGTTTTAATGCAATAAGAGGACAATAATAGGGTGCATCATCATGCCTCAAAGGCATGGTGCTCCCTTGTTTTCCTGTCGAGACCACAGAACTGGCTCTCAACCTTGTTTTGCCCAAAAGAAAAGAAGAACAAAATAATGCAGCAATATAATTAAATTACTCAGAAAATCACTGTCTCAGACACAGCTTGTGGAGAAAATCTTGGGCCGGTCCACTTAAAACTTTTTAGGTGCGAGATTGATGCACTTATAATTTATTGCCAAAAGCCCCCAGTTTCGAACTTTAAAAGTTATTCTATGCTTACTCTATGTGCATTATGTTTGTAGATCACAAGTGCCTAGGGTTATAAGTTACACTCCGGTCATTCATTATCACCCCTCTTTCATAGTTTAAGCCGTTGAAATAAACGGGCTAATCGGTTCAGTTCGCGCTACGCCGAATTATTCTATAGAAGAAATAAGAAATTGATTAATAACGTGCAAGAAGAAACACGAGTAAATGGTAAATAATTATTGGTGGAGTATTTCAAAGAAAAAAATGAAAACATAAAGGTACGACTCTTATATGCACGTAACTTTCCTTTAGCTAATGATTTAAGTTTTTGGGTTCAAACATTTCTAACTTGTCTGAGAGCTAGTTCCACATCCTTCGGAATCAGTTATTCTTAATGTAGGTCCTACTTATCTTATTTTTCCTGTTCTTCAGTTCCAAGTTCACTTTACCTAATATTTCATCACGTATTACCCAATGTGGGGTTTCTTTTCCCGAATTTGCTCACACATGCACCTAACATTTTGGAATTAGAATTTTTATAAACTTCATAAGCTTAGAGCAGGCTATTACGATTGTGTAAGCGTTTGAGATAGATTATGGACGCGGATGGTGATGAGTGAACCCAAAAGCAAACAATAAGTGAATTAGGGCTCCATTTGTTTTGGCAGAAAATGAATGATTTGAAAAACATTTTTCAAAAAATGATCGCTTATATCACTTGCAAAAACGAATGAACGAAATTTAATGTTTAAATATAAATTATAGTCGATAATGAAAATATTTTTCATTGGCTAATTATTTCAAGCGATGCAAGTAATCATTTTTATGAGAAATTTTTCCAAATCATTCATTTTCTGCAAAATGAATGGAGCTTGAAATAATTAACCAATGAAAAATGTTTTCATTATTGTCTAAACATTTCCGTGGACGATTGAGATATTTTTCGCTCATTCATTTTTGCAAGAAATACAAATGATTGTCTTTAAGAAAGTGTTTTTCAAATAATTTATTTTACGCGAAACAAATGGAGCCTAAGTGAGAGAAATATTTCCTCAAGAAAGGGATGGAGATATCATAGATCTTTGAACTTTCTTTTAATTGTTCAATGATATCTTTGGACGTTTTCTTTTTGTGTAATCAAGTTTTTAGACTACTATTGTTGGACAATTTGAAAATCGATGTCAAAATCTCTTAGGTTATTTTGATGATCACAAAAACTTATCAAAGTACTTGATGGGTGTTTTTTAATGAATGTAGAAGAAATAGCGCATCTTAAAGATTTTCTACGAGGTACCTCACGAGATCTGATTTTATGGAGATATTAAGTGGAGATATTCATGTATTAAATGTTATATTTACCTGATAATCATTGAAAGAGGAAGCAAGCAGACATATACACGACATAATATTGATGTAATTCGAAGATAAGAAGTGCCAAAGATATATGTGCTACATTACTCTCAAGGGTTTCAAATTTGTGATGTCTAGTCTAGATATGAAAGCTTACTTGTAGATCTTCTCTATATACTTACACTTGGCTGAATGTGAGAGAGAATAAGGGTTATTATCATTGTAAGTATGTTGGGAAAAGTGCCAAAAAAGTCCTAAACATTTTTTTTGTGCCAATTCAGTCCTAAACCTTTTTTTGGTGTCAATTCAGTCCTAAACCTTTTGCATTGGTGTCAATTTAGTCCTAAACCTTGTTTTGGTGCCAATTAAGTCCTAAACCTTTTAAATTGGTGCCAATCCAGTCCTAAACCTTTTATTTTTGTGCCAATTTAGTCCTTCCGGTCAATTTTGATCGGAATTTGCCGACGTGGACACCTGCCGGCCGGTCACCGGCGCCGACGTGGCGCTGACATGGACAACTTTAATAATATTTTAATATTTTTTTGAATTTTTATTTTTTTCCTTTTTTTATTTTTTTTTCCACTTTTTTTTTTGTCCCCCCCTCCTTCCTCTGGCCGGCGAGCTCGACCTCGCCGGCCACTGGCGACGGCGGCGGCCTCGCCCGGCGACGGCGAGCCTCGCCTTGGTCGGGCGAGGCCCGACCTCGCCAGATCCGACGAGGTCGGCCTCGCCGGATCGGCGAGGTCGAGCCTCGCCATGGCCCTCGCCGGATCTGGTGAGGTCGAGCCTCGCCCGACCAAGGCGAGGCTCGCCCTCGCCGTAGGCCTCCGGCGAGGTCGGCGGGCGAGGCTCGACCTCGCCGGATCCGGCGAGGTCGGGCCTCGCCCGACCATGGCGAGGCTCGCCCTCGCCGCGGCCTCCGGCGAGGGCTCGAGCCTCGCCTTGGTCGGGCGAGGCTCGACCTCGCCTTGGTCGGGCGAGGCTCGACCTCGCCAGATCCGGCGAGGGCTCGAGCCTCGCCATGGCTGGGCGAGGCCCGACCTCGCCAGATCCGGCGAGGGCAAGCCTCGCCATGGTCGGGCGAGGCTCGACCTCGCTAGATCCGGCAAGGTCGGGCCTCGCCGGATCTGGTGAGGTCGAGCCTCGCTCGACCATGGCGAGGCTCGCCTGAGCCAGTGGCCGGCGAGGTCGAGCTCGCCGGCCTCTGGCCTCTGGCCGATCGCCGGACCGGCGACCGGCCAGAGGAAGGAGGGGGGGGGGCAAAAAAAAAAGTTGAAAAAAAAGGAAAAAAAATAAAAATTCAAAAAAATATTAAAATATTATTAAAGTTGTCCACGTCAGTGGCACGTCGGCGCCGGTGACCGGCCGCCGGCCGGCAGCGTCCACGTCGGCAAATTCCGGTCAAAATTGACCGGAAGGACTAAATTGGCACAAAAACAAAAGGTTTAGGACTTAATTGGCATCAATTTAAAAGGTTTAGGACTTAATTGGCACCAAAAAAAGGTTTAGGACTGAATTGGCACCAAAAAAAGGTTTAGGACTAAATTGGCACTAATGCAAAAGGTTTATGACTTTTTTGGCACTTTTCCCTAAGTATGTTTGTAGAAGTTATTTGTTTCGCAAACTTATGCAAACACGGAATTTTGTAAATCGGCTATGAGATCGGCGGAGGGCATCGGTAAAAATAAAGGGTTGATTCCGCCGTGAAGAGGAACTAGTCTGGTAGAAGGCGAACGGTAGTAGAATTGTTTTGCGTCGAAGCAGTTTATAATGCTTGCCGATAGTAATTGATACGACTTGATCGAACTGCTAGAGTTGAGAGAGTAAAGTAAAGCTGAATCGCTACAAATCTCGCTTTGATATTCTCTGTTCCCATCTCTCTTTATTAGTTATAGTCACCTTATGATACATGGATGCTCGAGTAGAATTAAGGTAGCTCTGCCACTAGACCTAATAAAAATCATTCCCTTTACACTATTTTGGCCAAGAACAATTTACGGAACTATTTCTAACTCTTTTTGTTAAGCTTAGTTGCAACATACCCTATACACTACTGCTTACTTGCTAATAACAATCTGCTGGCTAAGATTTTCTTGACGGCCGGCAATGTCACATCCAAGCACGTCTGGATATTGCAACATGACAATGTACAAGTGAATTATCTCTTTTCGTGGAAAATTTCAAAACCGATTTAATAAAGATTGGATTTAGCTAGACCTCACCGACCGTCGAATTGAGTAGATGTAGATCTTACAACTTTGTTCCATCTAATTTGCGCTTTAGCATTGTTGGAGGAACTTTAGACAAGTTAAAGTTATTTTTGTATGCTAGTGAGAATCATAACCTAAACTTCCTGTTTATAGTTGAAGATGCATCATCTTGCAGAAAATCTTCTTGCAAGTCTTTGCTTGCACTTCTCGTTTTCAAGCAAGACAATGCCTCAACTGTTAAAGCAAGAACGTCTAGGACAACCGGCATTGCATCAATCACACTGTGTTTGGCCTCGTTATTTTCATAGTCGTTTTAGTAATTTTGGCCAAATTTCTACTCTTGAGAGAGAGAGAGAAAGAGATAGAGATAGAGAGAGAGAGAGAGAGAGAGAGAGAGAGAGAGAGAGAGAGAGAGAGAGAGAGAGAGAGAATTGCTTCCCATCCCCCACAAGCAAAAAGTGGAGGGAAAAAAAGTTCTTTTTGTACACACCGCGATGATGGTGATGATGATGCCTGCAATCTCCAACAGCAAAAGAACACCAAATTCCTCTCTCTCTCTCTCTCTCTCTCTCTCATGCTCATATTCCTCTGCCTCTCTCCTCTGTTTCTCACACCTCATAAGTATGTTGAATCTCCTTTTGTCCTCGCCCCTCTCTCTGTCTCTCTCTGTCTCCTCTCTCATCTCATGAACTCAATATAGTTAACACCAACCCATGAAAGTGAAAAGGGAAGAGGGGTAGTGAAGAAGAAGAGATGGAGAAGAGCAGGTGTGGTTGCTGGGCTGTTCTGAGACGCACCTCCTCTGCCTCAAGAGACTCTGCCAATTCCATTCCTCGTACCAGCACAGTTTATGATGCAGGTAACAGCACTAACATGATCGTGTCCTTTGAGTTTCTGTAAAACTCAATCTTTGTTTCATGTAGAAACAAAATGGGTCACTTTCTTTTCCTCATAGCATCTCGCTTGTTCTTTTCTTTTTCTCTCTTTGTTTTTTTCCGAATGTATTCCTTGAGCGTATAATTAGTTGCTAGTTAGTTGGAAGCATTTTGATGCTCCAAGCTTTGGACCCGTTTCATGAACACATCATCATGTTTTCATTGGGTATTACAATTTGGAGGAGTGTATTGTGTGCTGATTTTGGGATGTAATAATCCCTAACAGATACCAATTCGACAAATCTAATTGGAATCCGAGCCATCCGTTTGGTATTGGCTAAAGACAATCTTGCAACCAGCAAAAGGCTTCTCTCTTTTTCTTGCCTTCTTTTGTTTTCTTGGCTGAGTTTTTGCTTAAATTATTGTTTTTTCCGGTTGCTGATTTCTTTTGTTTTCATTTAGTAGACTGTCTGTGATTACTTGCATAGCTCAGGTTTTGCATCAGGAAAGTAGTCATCCAGGGTTTCAGTCAAACTTGGAAATTGGAACATTCAATGCCCTAAAGCCTAATTTTTTTTGTTTGGCATTTGGAATCTGACTTCCATTGCACTTAACTGAGCTTAGACTAGCAATTGTAATGAGCATCTACCTGAGGGCGAATCCGAGTCAAATTCAAGTTCCAAAGTTCAGCTGATGTCCCAGCTGAACTTGTTCAAATTTCAACTTCTATATTTTGGGAAAATCAACATTGCAAATTGACGGGAGGCAATTTCTTGATTTTGATGCAGCAGCTGAGACACGATACCTCAATGCGAGCAACCGCGAGATGTATCCTCCTAATGAAGCTCGCTTATCCTCTGATATGCCCGAGCCACCAGTGGCAGATAATAAACCCAAGTGCCAGCTTCTCCAGTTCACTTTTCAGGAGCTAAAATCTGCGACTGGGAACTTCAGGCCGGATAGTATTCTTGGGGAGGGGGGATTTGGTTATGTCTTCAAAGGGTGGATTGAGGAGAACGGTACGGCGCCCGCAAAACCTGGTTCAGGAATTACAGTTGCAGTCAAAAGCTTGAAGCCAGATGGTCTCCAGGGGCACAGAGAATGGATGGTGAGCACATTCTAGAACTCTGGCTAGCAAAATTGATGTCTCAAGTATGTTTCTCGCCGAAATGCTGAGAATAGAGTCATAATCGACAGATTCGTTAATGTAGGCCGAAGTCGAATTTTTGGGACAGCTTCACCATGCCAATCTTGTTAAGCTCATTGGCTGCTGCATCGAAGATGATCAGAGGTTGCTTGTCTATGAGTTTATGACCAGGGGAAGTCTTGAAAATCATCTTTTCAGAAGTAAGTGTTGATTTCTGCCTTTTTCAACAGTTCGATGTAGCGGCCCCAACAGAATGGAAAATCAAATTGCAATCTTGATTGAGAATGCTTCCAACAGATGAGAAGTTTGCCTACTCGTTAGAGACCCGACATGAATTTGCCACATTGGGTTTATCTATGTACCTGGTTAGGTGGCATGCCTATTGCATGCACAATTTTCCTGCTCAACATAATGTTTCTGATGAGCTCACTGCCTCCTTTGCATGGCTGTGGCATCATATCTAAGTCCTATGGTGTTCTGACCAGTTGCAATGCTAGGTTATGTAATATATGCCAAAATGGTCTAAAGCACTGTCGTGAGCCAAGTTGCGGTTCTTCCAATTGATTGCGAAATTGTTTGCCCTTTTGTCATAGTGGCTCCATGTCTGTCACTCACTAAAATATACTGATGACGTCGTAATTCTTGAAGGAGCTGTGCCTCTTCCATGGTCCAACAGGATAAAGATTGCCCTCGGCGCAGCAAAAGGATTGGCCTTCCTGCACGGGAACCGCAAACCTGTCATTTACAGAGATTTCAAGACTTCAAATATTTTGCTTGATTCGGTACATACTCCGGCACTATACTGGACTGCCAATATCTGTTCAGTCTAAGAACTATAGCAACCTTTGCTCTGCAGGAGTACAATGCAAAGCTTTCGGATTTCGGTTTGGCGAAAGCCGGGCCACAGGGAGACAAAACTCATGTTTCTACTAGAGTTGTGGGGACATATGGCTATGCTGCTCCAGAATATGTAATGACAGGTACTCCTGTGATATCTGGTTTGTTAAATTGGTTCCAAAAGCTTTATGTATGATCATTTTCAAGAAACATACAACTCTTTTTGTGCCTTGACCAAAATTGTCTTCAACTGTCATTGCTTGTAGCTCAAAAAAGAAAAAGAACTGTCGTTGCTTTGTCAGATAGCGTTGTGATTCACCAGAAAAAGCGAGTTTCATTCTAGATATTAGTCTATTCAGCGGTTGAGTAACCGAGTTATTAGTCATGAGCCGATTCACCAAAGTTGCACAAGAGAAATTATCTCTTATCTGAACTAAGTTGTCACACTGATTTTCTCATGAGACAAACATTGGCGGCATTGAGAAGATTCGGAGTTTTTCCGCACTATCAAAGCCCTATGCTGATGCTTGTCCTGTTCTCATTTCCCACAGGTCATTTGACGTCGAAAAGTGACGTCTATAGCTTTGGCGTTGTGCTTCTCGAGATCCTAACGGGTAGAAGATCAATGGACAAGAAACGTCCCAGCGGAGAACAGAACCTCGTCACGTGGGCCCGACCCCATTTGGGGGACAAGAGGAAGCTTTACCAGCTGGTTGATCCGCGCCTCGAACTGAACTACTCAATCAAAGGAGTCCAGAAGGTGTCTCAATTAGCCTACCACTGCCTCAGCAGGGATCCCAAGTGCCGCCCCACGATGGACGAAATCGTCAAGGTGCTCACCCCATTACAAGACCTCAACGACCTCGCAATCTTGTCTTGCCACTCACGGTCATATCAACAAGGAAGGCGCAAAAAAAAGCCGGACCCGATTCAGCAGCGGAGTTACGTCCAGACCAAAAGCATTAGAGATTCTCCCCTGAACACCGGCAAGCAGAACTCGAAGTGACGAGTCAGCTGTTCCCTTTCCTTCTGATTGATTCGAGTACTATTGTAAGTTTGGTTTTTGTACTAGAATGTTTGGTCCTAATTAGTGCCGGATTGAGAAAGAAAAAGGAAGACGGAAAAGTGCTTTCCGGTTCTTCTTCCACGATCTCTCATGCTAGAGAAACTAACCTTGGGATATCCCCGCGAGTTCTGTATTGTAGTTGAGTTTTACATCTGTAATTAGATGAACGAACCCCGTTGTTCTCCGCAATTGTTTATGTGCATCTAGCAACGCGATGTCGATGTCCTTCGGCACGAAAAACGAGGAAAAGAAAAGCGAAAAAAAAAGCTTGATGTCAATTGCTCAGAGTTTGAAGAAACTGCACCCTTTGAGATTTGTCTACGAATGCGTGCAAACACGGCGTCTTTTCTTCAATCTCGGGAGACAATCCTGCGTCTTTGCTTCGTGTTGAAGCTGTCAATCTTCTTGAGAAGATGAACTTCAGTGAGAATCTCAATGAAGTGCACTTGCTCTCGGTGAAGGTGGACTACATAAACTAAAGCAGCTAATCATAACGCTGACTGAAGAAGAACCAAAACTCAAATTTTACGTAGGAAGAAGAGATTTAACGTCCATTCCCGTACGTTTCACATTTTCATATGCCAACTACCACAGGTTTTTGGTGACACACACACACACACATATATAAATGGTGTGTGCATGTTCTTCTCCATATTCTATAAATATGTAAGTGTTTGGCGTGATGAATAGTAAAATGATGATGTGGCATGCACGGAAATTTAGTTTTCTATATTAATTCTTAGGTTTTTAGTCAATATTAAAAAAAAAAGCCAATTCTCACTCTTCTCTTGGTTTGGAAATTTCACAAACAAATTTAAGTACTTCTAACCTTGGAGGTCATTGTTAAAATATCAATTCGACATCTGTAATTCTTTCATAAGGATATTAATTTGGTACGCTGCATATAGAACTGTCGTCGTTACCGTACTAGAACAATCAATGAAATATACATTTATCTGGGTTCTAGCATTTGTCTCGTCTATAAAATCGCACAAGTGTTTCTTTATTTGTAGCCTTTAAATTTAGTAGATATATATATAATATAAATCCACTTGTTTAATATTAGCAATATCTATGGACATACATAAGACTAATACTTTTCCGGTTCTTTCGCGCCACATCTTTTAGACAAGTTAACCTATGTGAAGTTATATTATAAATTAGGGATAATTGTCCAAAAAGTCCTAAACTTATTGTAAGGCAACCAATTTAGTCCTAAACCTTTTAATTGAACCGTCCTAAACCTTTTAATGATTTTCCAATTCAGTTCTAAACCTATTATTTGAATATTTGGCCAGAAGGACTACATTGTCAAATCGTCAAAATACTTAGGACTAAATTGGTGAATCATCAAAAGGTTTAGGACTAAATTTATACAATTGAAAGATTTAGTACTGCCTTCTTACAATAAGTTTAGGATTTTTTAGACAATTTTCCCCAACTTGAACTATTATACCAATGTTGAACAAAAAAAAACTATTATACCAAGATTGACAACACATTACTCACGAATTGCATATTAGTGGGGAAATTGTATGATCAGTCATAAATTTATTGTATGAATGCTAATTCTGTTCTAAATTTTTCAATATTGCTAATTTAGTCCTACACCTTTGCATGAAATTCTAATGTAGTCATTTTGACAATTTTTTGTTGGGAACCGTTGAAATGACAATATATTACATAGGATGGCCGGCAATACTAAACTACCACATCAGCGATTTTTTATAAAAATTAACTTGAATGACTATATTGGAATTTTGTATAAAGATTTATGACTAAATTGGCAAAATTGGAAAGTTTAGAACTGAATTGACATTCATACAATATGTTGAGAACTCATTGAACAATTTTCTCATTAAAAGAGCTGTGAACAATTGGTCAGGTTTTGCAGCGAATATACTTTTGTTGATCTAAATATTTCAATTACAAAGAGGGTATTAATACTTACATGAGTATTAAAGAGAAAATATTATATTTGTATTTAATGGTTGTAGATGAAATTAAAGACAAAATTCAAAGCCATTTGCTACCCAAGGAGCGCGTCTTGCAAAGCTAGATGGCTAGCATATTCAATCTAATAAAAGTGGTAAAATTTGGGAGGTTAAGTTAATAGCAAGCATACATTAACTATATGCCAACCCCATATCATTGTCTTTTTTTTGGGAGCAATTTGACTTGCATACTAATTCTTTTCCCGTTGGAGATAAGAAATTAGTCATATTGTGTGTTCGATATTTTTTAATTAGGTCACTCTGTCAACCACTTAGAAAAAAAAACTTAATAGAAAGCTAGTGTGGCACTCACTATTCAGCGATGTCGCATTTGGCATCGCGGCATATGGCATAGCATATGAGTACCTTACTTTGCATAGTGATATGCTCGAAATTGAAATCACTTATATGTCACTTAATTGATAGTTTTAGAAGTTTAATAAACTAACTCAAAGGAGGATCAAAAGTGGATGAACAAGTAAGAAATAGGAAAGAAATTTTTACTCCCCCTTTTTCTTTCTCTCTTTTGCTAAAAAAAAAAAAAAAGACTATGGAAAATATAGTATATGAAGTAGAGAGATGGAACCGCAATTAACAATATATAAACTCCCAATTACTTCTCGAGGATCCGTTTATATTAGCGATTATGTGCACCCATATAGATGGACCCCCAATTTTTTTTTTTATCTTACTCTTCTTTTTTATGTATATGTGTGTGTGGTGCTCATGGGAGTAAAACCCCAAACCTGATACTTTCTGGCCCCACCCCTCAATCCCTTTATCAGCAGGACTGCATGCCTATTGGCGACAGACCTCTAGTTTGAGCAATATTCCTTGATGACACTCGAAGAAGTTTACAAGCTAGAAAAATCAAATAAATATGGTTAAATAAATCAAATGTGAGTTGGCATGAGTCAGACTAATTTAGTTTGGTAATTTCTATACATATGCTCATAAGTTTTAGACTTGTATTCACTAAACTCTTTTAAGTGGATGGTATCAATTTCTTTCCGACCAAAAAAAAAAAGTTGGTAGTCCAAAACTAGACAGTAATTTAATAAGACAAAAGTTAATAAATCACTCTAATTACGATTAGTAATTTCGTATAAGAGTTAACTTTCGGGGCATTGGTAAGTTATGTAAATTAAAATTATAAGATAATACAAAAAAATGCTAATTTGCAAATTATAAAGAAAATTGATAATTCCATGAAAGTGTTACCAACAAGTTACTTTGAAAGAACAGTCATTGACCATACTTTATCAACAAAAATTTGACACTTACCAACACATAGTTGGATTATACCTCTACGAAAAAACAGAAAAAAAAAAAGATTCTTACCCAAAAAAAATTACTTACCCAAAAAAAAAAAACAGAAGAAAAAATATAGTATAGTATTCCTCCAATTGCCCTTTTTGACTTTGCAATATAAATAATTTGTATTTTCCCTCCAACTTGTCTTCCAGCTAAACTCGGATCTTGCATCATCATTTATAAATTCGAAACAAGATCGTGTCTTAGATTCCTGTGTGGGACTTCTAACACACTACATCATTCTATCACAACAACTATAGAAAATCAAACAGAACAGATGAACAGAGAGAACCCTATCATTTGCAGAAAATGGAGAAGTACAAGTACATTGATCATCGGAGAATGAAGAGACATTACACAGCTAATTTTTCGCCTCACAGATCGAGCTGCCTCCTTCCCAAGTGCAAATTTCACCAGTACAATGCATGAACTGATTTGCCAACAATTGAAAATTTTCTCGCATGTTCTTGGTGCACGCCAGCCAATACATTTGCATCCTTGAATTCGGCGAATTGTGCTGTGGCGAAGTCCATCAGATGTAAAATCTAGACTTATGTGACTCGCACGCACCAGTACAAGAGTCTATCAACTGATTGACTAACTTTATTGAAGAAACGGCCATGCGATGGTACTTCTTACCGGAAAGTTGATGAGGAACTTGTCGGCTAAAGATGATATATGCTCCTTCAACAAGTAGCTGTACTCATGCATTTTCCACAACGCAGACCGAGCAACATGTTTACAGTGTTTTATATGGGCGTAGACAGAATGTTTGTACTGTATGTTATTTCCAGAATGTACTCGATCAGCATCTTTTACATCAATCAATCGCAGATAACATGCTTATCGAACGATCGATAAGTTCATAGGTTCACGTCACATTAAAAAGACCCCTTAAATCTCTTTTGCTGGTCATTAAACAGGAGGTGATTCATTCTTCATTACTGTACTTATAATTTGTATCATCGCAACTTATCAACTTTTACTACTGTATTTCACTGTTTAAACTCTGCAACTTTACTGTTGAGATCGCTTATGCCCTTACTTTCAAGTGAAGTGTCATTGAGAACTTGTTTCCGCATCGAAGTTTCATAAATAGTTGTGATGGCAAAATGACGGAGTAGTGACATGGAAACAATGTTGAAAGTAGTAATTAAAAAGGAGTAATTGCAATGATACAGGTTGAAGTTTAGTAGCTACAGGAAAAAACTAAAATAACCTAAGAATTAAAGATCAGAAAAGATATGTATCTACCCATCAAATACATAAATCTTACATAATTATTTATGGAAATATGATGTATTGATAGAATGGATATTGACAGTGCAACTTTTACGTACCTGTCTGTTTCCATGGAGGGAACGTACTCAAGCTTTTATAAGCCAAAAGCTTCAACTCTGGGCCCCGGAATAGAACATTAATGTACAAATGGAACTCTGAAAGCAAACCACATAATTAATATGGGACTTATTTTGCTTCACGGGATGCGTGACTGTTGCATATGTCGTCGTCTCCATCACCGTTGAGATCAACTATTACAGTTTTGGGAATAAACCAACTATTCCAAATCAACCGTGCTAGAGATATAAATTGTGCAATCAATCCGAAGATTACGCTAGCTTTGCTAAACAGTCCAATTTGTAAGTCTACTTTTTTGCTAATTATAGATAAAGTCTTCGAATTTGACAGATATCAGTCGTCTAAGATGACCTATAGGATGCATTTGTCGACCAATGACCAACAAAGTAAAAGCTCACAGAATAGTTGTAGCATAGATGAGAGAGAGTTGTTATACCCTTTTCACTAATAAATCAACATATAATTTAGCATATAGAAATGGTTCTATTAGAAAGCCAACATGCTGTCTAGCGTTTTGTTGTT